CACCTTTTTCTGCAATTTTTTATGACCCTGTCAGCCAAGTCATTTCTGTACTTTGGCCTGCCCTTTTTGTGGTACGCTCTGCAGAGCAGATTAGAAACTTCAGGTGGTTTTGCACAGCTTCCTGTAAGCGTTTGTGTTCTGTGTTGACCCTGATAACAAACCTTTATCTCCAGACAACACTAAATCAAACTCCACCTGATATCCCTCCAAATACTGACGTTCCCTCAGTTGCAAAGTCCATTCTCGTCTCTGTGCTGGAACAACTCATGGCAGAGCCTGAGAGTCAATTACCTTGTTCATTGACTGCTGTGTCTTCTCATTTCCAATATTCCATTCCAAATTTCTTTCTGTGCAGTTCCCACTCTGGGTTCTCTGTCAGGCTGTCCTTTAAATCCTGTTGGGCTGGAATAAATCTCTTCACTTGTTTGTAGCCACTCATGCCCTGGAGAATTTTTTACTGTGGAACCCAACAGAAGCCCAGCAGGGTTAACAGCAGAGGAGTTTTGAGGGTGATCTCCTGTCCCACTGCACAACAGGGCTGGGGACAGTCAGTGGCCCCACTTCTGTCACAGGCCCATCCTTTCCATCTATGACCCACAAACCCTCGGACTCTGTCTCAGAGTGAATTTAGGAACTCCTGAATCAGCAGCTCCGTGGCTGTGAGCGCTCACAAGCAGCTGGTCCATCCCTGGCTCACATTATGGAACTGTTTGGACAAAAATTGCAGTGATTCCTCCCTGACTCCCTGGGAATTGTGGTGGAACCCCTTGGGAAAGATTTTGTTTCTCAGAAGTGAACGATTCAAAAGATCTCTGGGACCTGCCAAGCTCAAAGCCAGAACTCTCCTATCAGTGCTTGCTTAAGTTGGTGGAATGCAGCCCAAGATTTTTCAGCCCATATAATCAAACCTTTGTGGGCAAAGTCCACACCTGTAATCAGTAATCTTCTATCCATCCCCAGCCGTGGCAAGGAAGATCTGCAATTGCCTCACAGTTCATGGCTCCTGCTCTGTTTWCTTTGACCTGGAGAATTTCAAATCACACCAATATCTCAGTCATTTTCACCCCTCGGCCCTTTTCCCTCCATTCCCCATGACCATTTCACACCCAGAAGTTCAATCATTCAGCAGTCAGGTCCCTGCTCTGCTCTTTAGTGTCGGTGCCTCTCAGCACATCAGCAGAGCCCCGTGGGGATCAAAGCTCTTCTATTGCTCTCATTCCTTTGCCAGTGCAGTCCCAAAATTATGGGGCTGTTTTTAAATCCTCGAGCTAATGCAGTCCTGGCTGTGGATTTTCCCACTCAGATGGGAAGAGTTCGTGTCTGGAGTGGCCCAGAAATGTGTTACAGTGAACCCTCCCAAATACCCTTTTAGTGGGGTTAGCAGTGTGGATGGCTTAGCTCCCATATTTTATTAATTGCTATTAACTTCTGTACTAATTGATCATCTTTGCTATCTGTGCTTGGCAAAAGTGGGAGATTGCATCCAGATTCACATTCCACCATGAACCCACTCCCTAAGAATCTTATAGAGACAGCTAAGAAGCCTTTTCAGCTTCCTTCTTACCAGGTCTGTGCCTGGTTTCATTCTTACAGATTCTGCTGTTTGAATTTCCAGAAATTTCTCTGGCATAATGGGTGTTACTGCATCCTGTGAAGAATGAAGTTCACTCTCCTGTTTAAATTTAACAGGTTTTAATAAATGACAATAGGATACATAAAAGCAAAAGGATACTGCTCCAGCACCCTGGCAGTTTGCCAGAAGCACATTAGCTATTTTAAAAGAAGTCTTTAAATACGTTTTGTATGGCTAATCAGCTTGATGCATCAATGCCTATTCATAGGCTTTGATACATAATCAAACTTTTCTAGAAACTGTTTAGCATGGCACCTCCTCCAGTCCACCTTTTTAGAGCATGTGCAATTCGGTCTTTGTGGACCCCCTGTTCCGTGGTTTCAGCAGATGGTCCTTGTTGATAGGGAAGTGTCCCTAGCAGGGGCCCCTAACGGGTCATGACATCCCTGGACTATCCACATAGATATATCTGGAGGTTGGGGATCCCATCATCTGGGTTCTTTTGCGCAGAAGGATGGGGGTTCCACGAGCTCTCTTGACTGAATGGCTTCTCTCTTTATCTTATTTTTTTTGGTCAGTGCAGCTGCAGCCAGGGCCCCATTCAGTTTTAGTGGCTCTCTCTGCAGTTTTTGTAGTTTTGCTATAATATGCAAAAATTCTTCATGGAAATGTTTAAGTCACAATCTACAATATGCAAGTTAATCACGAATATTCTGTAACACAAGTATTCTGTAACTATTCTATAAGTTAAAAAAAAAAAAAAAAAAAAAGAAGAGTGATTATTTCACAACTATGTCTGCATAACTAAACTTCTTTTATAAGTAAGACAATATTATATCATGATGCGCAACATATAGCATCTTTCTTTAATCTCTGCAGAAACCAACACTATAATTTGTGTTTATCACAACCCTCAGTTTGGTTTGGGATAGGCTCAGATTGGGAAGTCACTTCCTGTCCCTTGAAAACTGGAGGTGCCACATATTTAGACTCAGAAACAGACTCACACTCCATGATTTTAATTTTTAATCGGAGACTTGATCTCTGCCTTCAGTTTTCCCAGTGAGTTTCCTTCTAATAATGGTTCTGAAGAGCTGGGCAAGTACAAGAATCCATGGGTTGTCCATCATGTCCCCAGTTTGAATTTAATTGGATGGAAAAGGGGCCCGTTTCACTGACAGCTGCGACAAAGTCACCACCTCACTTCCCTTGCAGTGTGTTTCATAAAGAATAAGCAGCTCCTGTACCCACCAAAAATCCCAGTTTTCCCTTTCCCATAGGCTCTGATGGGGCAGAAACTTCTGGTTCCCTTCACAATTTCTCTGCTCTTGCCAGGAGAAGACTCAGAGGAGTTCTGGGCTTTATCTGAGGATGCTCCCACTCTCAATGTCCATCCTTTTACAAAATGCACCTGGATTTGTTCCCAATCTTCCTAATGAAGGTCGAGGGACTGAGCCCCTTTCCTTTCCATGAGAATCCATCCTTCCTGATGGCAGAGTCCTTTGCTCCCTTTCTCTCTCACTGCTATAATTTGTATCCACCGCCCATGCAATGTTAGAGATTATACCAGTATCAAAACCATCTGTGTCCTGCAGTTTCCTGCAGTTTTATTGGCATATAATAAAAGCATTTTCCAATGAAACAGAAGCCACATGTTTTTTATTACCTGCCTGAAGAGCTTTTATTACTTTTCGTGGTTTCCTTATCTACATGTACATCTGACGCATTTAATCCTCTGTGCACTGGAATTTACAGCTCAATTTAACCCTTCTTTCTCCTGAATCTCAAAGCTTAGAGCAGACTTGTCCTATGCTATACATGGAACAACAACTGAATTAACAGAATTTATTATCAAACAAAGCAAAGCAGAAGAATGAAATGTGAAATAAATCCTAAATGAAACAACTTCCCCACACCTCTGTCTCCTTCCCGATTGCTCCCTCTGCACCCAGTGGCGCTGAAGGATGGGGGTCACAGTCGGGTCATGTCCCTGCCTCCCCGTCAGGGACAGGAATCCTTGTCCTGCTCCGGCCTGGGGTCCTGTGGGGGCTGCAGAGGGGTCCGTGCTCCATCCCGGGCTCAGCCCAGCTCACACAGAGCTGCACCTTCAGCTCCAGCTCACCCGGAGCTCCGCCGGCTCAGGGCAGCAGCGGTTCCTTTCTGTCCCCTCCTGCCCGGGCCGGGCACAGCGCCGGGAGCCGTTCCTGAGCCAAAGTGTTCATTGTGCCCCTGTCCCGGGCACAGCTCCAGGGGCCGTTCCTGAGCCGAAGTGTTCATTGTGCTCCTGTCCCGGCACATCTCCAGGGGCCGTTCCTGAGCCAAAGTGTTCATTGTGCTCCTGTCCCGGCACAGCGCCGGGGCTGACTCTGACTCGACAACAACTTTATTGTGTTCATGTGTTCGTGTGTTAATGTGTGACAACCGCCGGGGCAGTTGGTGCCGAAGGTCTAAAACCAAAGCTGATCGAGGTTTCAGTGCCCGGTGCCGATCCCGCCCCGCGCTCCCATTGGCTGATTTCTCCCATCCCGCCCCGTTCTCGCCGCTGATTGGTCAGAGCGGGGGCTGAGAGCGCTCCTGCTCCGTCTCNGAGGCCGCTGCGGGAGCGGCTGCCCGCGGTCTCCTTCCCGCTGATGCCTCGGCAGGAGCCGCTGCCGGAGCAGCGCTGGCTCGTCCCGGTTGCTGTCGGTAGCACAGGGGTGGGTGTTCCGTCCCAGGGAGTGTTCCCRGASCTGCGGGACCGGGCTGGGAGCCCCTGGTGCAGGGGGAGGTGCCCGTGTTCGGGGCTGAATGGGACGGGGCGAACTTGAACGCTTCTCACAACCCAAACCACCGGGATCAAGGAACAGCGCCGCGCTCAAGAGCAGGCGGAGTGGGGCAACCACCAGGAGCCAAGTTCCTCCYTTCGTGCCGCAAGGTTCTATTCCCAGACAGATTGTCACACAAGGGGCGGTGCCAGCGCTCGGTGGTTCCTGGCTCCGACCCGCCAGGGCAGGGGATGCAGGGGACAATCCTGAGCCCCCTCAGAGCTGCTGCTCCTTCCCCCTCGGGAGGCTGAGCCCGATCCGCAGCTGCCCCGTGCCCGCATTCGGCACCTCCCGGGCGCTGTCCCCGCCTGTCCCGGTCCGGAGCTCAGCGAGGCTGCGCTTGTGTCCCGCAGGTGCTGCCGCAGCGTCCCCGGGGAGCCGAGACCGGCCGGGGCCTCTCATCGTGCGCTCCTCGGTCTGTGAAACTGCGCTGGGAGCTCGGCTCGGTGTTCCTATGCCATCAGTGCTGATATCCCTGGAGCGAGATCTAAGTGCAAAGTGATTCACGATCTGGAGAAGCGAATCTGCCCCAGTAATTCAGAGGCTGMCGGGGAATTGCTTTGGGTGCAAGATCCTTTCGATGAGGTGCAGAATCGTGACAGCTTTACATCTGTAACTAGTCGATGCCGGGACAGTTCTTANTTCTTCACAGCGAGTGGCTCTTTCCTGCTCTTCCAGCTCCAGTCAAGTGCATCAGATCCCATCCCGTGCTCACCCTGGTGCTGATTCTGCTCCTGGTCCTGTCTTTGGGTGTGTCCTTGGCTGTTGTGTCAGGTAAGGGAGGGGCAGCTGCCTCGGCCCAGCCCCTGGGGCAGAGCAGGGTCCCTGCTCCCTGCTGAGGGGAATCCTCAGAACTTCTCCTCTTCCCTCTGCAGGGGGAGGGCACACAGAGACTCCAGTTACTCCAGTTACTCCAGTAACCCCAGTTACAGCTGACACTGCAGTGCTGCTGGCCTGTCCCCATGGCTGGGTCGGGCACCGCGGGATCTGCTACTTCCTCTCGAGGGATCAGCTCAGCTGGGATCAGGCTCAGGCTCGGTGCTCTGAGCTCGGGGCCTCCCTGGCCGTGCTCAAGGACTGGGAAATGGTGAGTGAAGGGCTTTGGGGGCTTTGTAGTGGCCGAGGGGAGCCTGGGGGGCTCCTGGGCCGGGGGTGCAGCTCCCAGTGCCGGCTCCTCTCTCCTTCCCAGGGGTTCCTCTTCCCTCACAGTGCCAGGGTCGATCACTGGCTCGGGCTGCGCAGACGGGGCCGGGAGCTGCAGTGGGGGGACGGCAGCAGCTTCAACTCCTCGTGAGTCCTGTGAGGGCCGGGCAGGGTCTGGGGGGGGCCGGAATGTGGATGGGGGGCACAGGGAAGGCCGGGGGGCACAGGGGCACAAGGTGTCTCCCCGCGGTGCCAGCGCTGTCTCTGCTCCTCCCTGCAGGGTTCCTGTCCTGGGCAATGGAGGGTGCCTGTTCCTGGCTGAGGACAATTACCTCAGGAGCGCTCCCTGCTCCAATCCGTTGCYCTAYGTCTGCAGCAGACCCCAAACTCGCCTGTGATAGAGGGGGGAGGAAGGGCYTTCTSTGTGTTGGGCACWCTCAGCTGCTCCTCAGGGTSCCCTSAATGCCCACTCTCAGTGTCATCCCAGTGCCTGCTCTCAGGGAGATGAACCTGCAGGAAGAGTTGATGATGTGGAAGCTGCTGTGTGCCTGCCTGGTCTGGGGCTGGGGGTTTCTTGTTGTCTCGCACTTTCTATTTATACACTAGCCCTGTGTGTCTGTATATGTATATGTATATATCTATGTGTGTGTATATGTATATATAAATATATGTATATATACATATACATCTATAGATGTAAAACATCTGTTGCCACAGGAATGTGCCCTTGGTCAGAGCACATTGTTGGTGCCAACAATGCCAGGGTTGGGATTTAACCCCCATTGGGGCCATTCCTGTAACAGTTGGGATCCCATAACGATCCTCATGGGTCTYTTCCAGCTCAGAGGATTCTGTGAAATCCTCTCTCTCTGACCCCCAACAGGATTTACAGTGCCATTATTTTGATAATTTTGATGCTTTATTTTTATACTTTTGCAATAAATGCTTGTCAAGCTCTCTCACTGTCCCTGGTGTCCCCTTGGCCCCNGGTGCAGGATCCTGCTGGGCACAGGCAGGGAGAAGCTGCTTCTCTGCTGGAGCAGAGTGAGCCCTGCCCCAGGGATGGGATTGGAGAGGAGCCCCAGGATTGCCAGGATGGATCAGCAACGGGACTCACACACAGAAAGACCCTGAGAGGATTCCTGGGTGAGTGCAGGGCCATCTGTGTGATCTGTAGGGAGGGGACAGTGTCACCGCAGGAGCACAGGGCTGGCAGAGCTGGGGCTGTTCCCAGGGGTATGGAAGGGGCCTCTTGCTCTGCTGGAACCCAGTAGGCTGGGACTGAGAGCCCCAGCCCTGGGCAGTTCTGCTGCTGCAGGCTGTGCCCATGATCTGTCCCTGGCTGTGYCCTGTCCCTGTCCCCTGTCTCTTATCTTTGTTGCTCCCAGATGAGTGAGGGGCTCAGGGGCTGGGGGCTCCCTCCTGCTCAGGACAGCCCCTTCTTCACAGCGAGTGGCTCTTTCCTGCTCTTCCAGCTCCAGTCAAGTGCATCAGATCCCATCCCGTGCTCACCCTGGTGCTGATTCTGCTCCTGCTCCTGGCTCTGGGTGTGTCCTTGGCTGTTGTGTCCGGTGAGGGAGGTGCAGCTGCCTCGGCCCAGCCCCTGGGGCAGAGCGGGGTCCCTGCTCCCTGCTGAGGGGAATCCTCAGAACTTCTCCTCTTCCCTCTGCAGGGGGAGGACACAGAGAGACTCCAGTTACTCCAGTTACTCCAGTTACCCCAGTTACAGCTGACACTCCAGTGCTGCTGGCCTGTCCCCATGGCTGGGTCGGGCACCGCGGGATCTGCTWCTTCCTCTCGAGGGATCAGCTCAGCTGGGATCAGGCTCAGGCTCGGTGCTCTGAGCTCGGGGCCTCCCTGGCCGTGCTCAAGGACTGGGAAATGGTGAGTGAGGGGCTTTGGGGGCTGTGGAGTGGCYGAGKGGAGCCTGGGGGTCTCCTGGACCGGGGGTGCAGCTCCCAGTGCCGGCTCCTCTCTCCTTCCCAGGAGTTCCTCTTCCCTCACAGTGCCAGGGTCGATTATTGGCTCGGGCTGCGCAGACGGAGCCGGGAGCTGCAGTGGGGGGACGGCAGCAGCTTCAACTCCTCGTGAGTCCTGGGGGCACAGGGTGGGCCTGTGGGGCACAGAGGGGCACAAGGTGTCCCCTCTGTTGTTCCAGCGCTGTCTCTGCTCCTCCCTGCAGGGTTCCTGTCCTGGGCAATGCAGGGTGTGTGTTCCTGGCTGAGGGTGTGCTCAGGAGTGCTCCCTGCTCAAATGAGATGCGCTTTGTCTGCAGCAGGGCCCAAACTCGCCTGTGGTGGGGGATGGACAAAGSTCCGTCTCCGTGCTGGGCACTCTCATCTTCTCCTCTTCCCCCCCAGCACAGGCATGTCATTCCTCAGCTGCACCATCTGTCTTTCATTTACTCTTAGGGCCACTTTGTAGGGTCACCTCAGTGTCTGTGTTCAGGGTCACCTCAGTGCCTGGTCTGCAGGAAATGAATMTCCAGGAGGTGATRTGGAAGCTGTTCTGTGRCTGCCTGGGCTGGGGCTGGGGGTTCCTTTCTCCTTCTGGAMCCATYCCAKAACTCGTCCTGTTTCTCTTGCACTGYATGTTTCTATGGGAACCCTTCATATATTTGTTGCTATGGAATCAGATTTCAAACACTTTCTTCTTAACACTCTATACACTAATCTTGTGTGAATTTATTGATCTATCTCCATGCATACACACTGCAAACAGGTGCTTCTGTAGGAATGTGACCTTGGTTGGAGCAGAGTGACAGTAATGCCAAGGTTGGGACTTGACCCCACAGGGGCAAATCCCTTAAGAGCTGAATTCAAACCTTGTGGGTCCCTCTCACTCAGAAGATTCTGTGAGATATCCTTGTGTGACCCCCATCAATGTTT